AAATGATTAAGGCAAATAATGGGCCAAAGCAATCTGTTTCTTAGAAAAAGCCTAAGCCAACACAAAAATTCACTGACATGTATTTATACCACTGCATAAAGGAACAGCTAACACATTTCTTTTTTTAAAATATTTATTATTAAGCTTTAGGTGGATACAAAATCTTTATTTTACATTTTTATGTGGTGCTGAGGATCGATCCCGGTGCCTTGTGCATGCTAGGTGAGCACTCTACCACTGAGCCACAATCCCAACCCAGCTAACACATTTCTATTACAAATTTATATTACTGATTTTCTCAGTTGTCTTTTTGGAAACAATCACATTAATCAATTTCCCTGGTAATTTACATAGAATTACAGCCGAATGGACAAGGGATATGCTTTGCAGGCAAATTACTGGGGTTTGAAACCTGCTTCTATAACATATCAGCTGTGTGAACTTAGATGACTCATTTTATTTCACTGTGCCTTAGTTGCCTCAACTGTAAAATAGAAAAAAAAGTCTACATCTAATAGAATTATTAGAAAGACTAAATGAAAAGCACATAGCTCAGTTCCTGGAACCCAACACTGGGGCCCTATAAATGTCAGTCACTGCTGTTAGCTACTACTTTAATTACTTTTCAAAAGCTACTATGTGTAGCACTGTACCAGGGAGATACTAAGATGAATATATTATTAACATCAAAGTGGGCTGAAGGATTCAGAGGGAGCGTGTTCCCTTCCAGCAAGAGTTATAAGGGAGGGCTTTGGTAGAAAGATTAGAATTTCAGAAAGCTCTTGGAAAAACAAAAGTAAAAATAGGTACAGAGAAGGACAACAGGGGATTCTAGGTATAGAGAACAGCAAAAGAAAAGTCCACAAGTACAAGAGGAGCTGCATATGCTTACATTTGGCTAAAATTCAGCACATGAGACTATTGGCAAGAAGGAAATAGGCAGGAAGGTTGGTGTCTATGGGATGACCTAAAATGCCATGCTCAGTGATTTGGACCTTCTGGTATAGTGTGGTACCATGAAAGGTTTGGAGAGTAGGGCCTATAGTCAAGGCAATAGCATAGGAATATTCACTGGGCAGTGGTTAGTGAAAGAGGCTGAAAGGGTATAAGGAGCCTACTCCCAGAGCTCTTTGGAGAAATCAGCAGAGGCTAAGTGACACACATGAGTGGTAGATATGAGTGACATTTCTTGAAAATTCCCTAGTTGGATTAAAAAATCATCTAGTCAACCTAGGCCAGAAAAAATAGTTACCTTTAGTTCTGTCCTCTCCTACCTGCTACTCTAGATGTCTCCTGAATATGGCTTCCTTTCCTTTTACCTGGACCATTGCAGTTATATTCTAATTGAGTACCTGTTAAACATCTTTTCCTCAACCAGTGTAGTTTCACAGTGCCTTTCAGTTACCTTCTAAAGATACATATTTGGACCTGTCAGGCTCTCTTTGTTTTTTACTTGAACTAAACAGCTTCCTAACTGAGGGGCTGGTTAACTTTCTCTATAAATTACCAGACAGTAAATTATTAGGCTTTGGGGACCAGGCTCAACTCTGCTGTGGTAGTGTCATACATCAAACATCATGAATAATCCTGTGTCTCAATAAAACTTTATATATGGATGTATTATTTTTAATGTGTTAGAAAATGCTGTTTTTTTTTTTTTTAAAGTTGTTGTTTTTGTTGTTTGTTTAAGATGGAGTCTCACTAAGTTGTCCAGGCTGGCCTTAAACTCCTAGGCTCGAGTGATTCTCTTGCCTCAACTTCCCAAGAAGCTGCTGGGACTACAGGTGCATGCTACTGCACCCAGAACAACACATTATTTTCATTTTCCCCCCAACTATTAAAAAATATAAAAACAATCCTTAGCGCATGGGTCATACAAAAACAGATAATGGTCCAGAAATTTGGCCCAAAGGGTATAGCTGCTGACCATAGCCTAACTGATCTTCTTGTTTCCTTTTATCAACTCTCCAAAGTCACTCTCCACATTGCTGTCTGAGTCAGGATCACAACACAAAAAGTCGATCATATTAACAACCTGCTTAAAATGCATCAAGAACAATCAATCAATTACTCTTAGAATAGCCAAATCTTCAGAGCATAGCCTACAAGACCTCTTGTCACTGATTTCCTTTTCAGTCTTATCTCTTATCAAACACCTACCCTGATTATAGAATTTATGTTCTCTCCCATCTTCATGTCTTTGCATATATAGATTCCTCTATCTGTGACATTCACCTCACCATTTTTCACCTTGAGAATTTCTACCCATGAACTTATTTATCAAGATTGTTACCAAACATCTTCCCCTTCCTATCACCTTTCATTATCAGCTTTCCCTGATTATCACCTACTTCCAATGCAGAAAAAGTCAATTCTCCTTTCTACATGTTCACGTGGTAATCTTTACTTCTAGAATTTCACTGTTGTCACACTCTGTTATAAATGCATTATGAACTGCCTCCTTTCATTGAATGTGAGCAATGTAAGGGTAGAAACTGAGTCTTCTTATTCTCTTTAGGCCAAGAGTACTTATAAGATCATAGATGCTTAATAAATATTATAAATTAAGTGAAAATTATACTCACCTATTGGGTCCTGCAATAAATGCTAAATTTCCATCTTCCCCTTTAAAATCCAATTTAAGCTTACATAAGGAGAAACACTGAAAGAGTAGAAGACTGTTTTTCTTTCAGAGTGATGTAGAGATTTCTACTTCAGTTTAAAAAAATTTTTTTGCCTCTAAAAATTTGGATTCTTATTTCACCATTATTTTCTAATGTGGTTTTCATATTCAATTTTAAACTTTGTTTAGAATATGCCATTTAAAATGTTTGAAACTGACTATTTGTGTGGGAGTTATATATTTCAGCTGGTCCACACTGAAGAAAAAAGATGCAATGGTTTTCATTTACACACCTAGGTATGCTGAATCAATAAAGAATGTTGAGGTCTAGCAAACTCTTTAAGAAAACAAAAAAAGCATTTCAAAAATATTTAACCCAACAACAAAGTTATATTTTCAGTTCTAAGAAGAGATATGTACAATCCCTTACATTTTAACTGTCATCTTTAAATTTATAAATATAGATTTTACAAACCATGAACATTAAATACGAAATGCTTACAAAAAAGAGTATTGCACTTAGAAAATCAGTAATTGTGTTTTATTTCCTATAAAACTAGGTTTAAATTTTTGTAGAAATAGTGTAAATACAGCACAACAGGGAAAAAAAAGCTTTCTACAGAACCAAAGCAAAACACTTTTTCTTAAGAACAAAGGAATTAGTTACCACTCGTCCATTTTCAGCAGTTGCTGCATCTTAATATGCTCTACTTGGAAGAAATTGATCTTGTCAAACAGTACAAATTGATACTGCTCAGAAAACCTCTCTACAGATTTTGACTTCAGAAATTAACTCTCTGAATAAGAGAGAATGGCAAAAGGGGCAAAACTAGCATTAATATTTATTTACTGAAGCTGAGCTACACTGAGACATTAAAAGCTGTCCTATTTCTGTGGGTCAGTAGTGCTTAGCACAAAAATGGTTGGTTCTCAGTTGAAGTCTGACAGAAAAGAATAGGTATCTACATTATCATGATGAAGTAAATTCTGAAACTTCTAAGATTAAATAGCTATAGGTATTATGTTAATATTATGTTCTCAGTTTCACAGTGATAATAGGCATTAAAAGAAACTATTCTGTAGTATTAAGCAATGTTTACTCAGAAAAGTGTTATATCTATTGAATTTTTTTTACATGTATAAATGATTTTTTTATCTCTTTCTTTCATCTTTTTCTTTTCACTGTTTAAATAGTGAAGTGTCAAACATTTGGATTATTATCATAACAAAATGTTTTTAACAAAGTTTGATTTTAACAGAACTGGAGGCATCTTAACACTAACCCAAAACTTTGGGAGGTTCACCAACCTCTAGAATATTTTTTCTCCAAATGCAGGCTGTTCAAGTGGTGCTTTTCTCCATCTGTTATCATACCGTGCTCAGAATTACATTGTCATATTTAATGTAAAAGGGATCAGTCCCCTTTCATAGTTTAAATTCAACACAGTACTATAATTGGAAGACCAGTGTTTTTCTATTTTATAAACTAAATCAAATATCATAAACTTACATGTGTATTTAGACAAAATTCTCTCTGCAAACTGAAAAACTCTAAGAATGAATAAACCCAAAGGCTTGATCTGAAAACTGAAAAACTGTACTAAAACTCAAAGTGAGAAGAAACCACTTACATGGTAAAGTGATATATCGACTATATTTGAATTTTTCCCTTTGTGTATTTATGTATGTGCATGTGTTTGTGTGCTTCCAATACAGCAAATTCTCAATGCTTGCAACCTAGAGAGTTTTATTTTAATCTAGGGCTGAGCTATATGTTTACTAAAGTTTACAACAATGATGATCACATTGCAAATTTCATGGTGGAAACAATGCAATTTGAAACTTCAATGGTATAAATATGATCTCAATAATGATTTGACCATGAATAGTGCCAATCGATAGCATCTCTAAATTTACACCTCTTTAAGATGCAGATCCTTATTTTGTATCAGCTCCATTTCAATTTGCATCTTAGGATTTCTTATGCTCGGTGCCTTTCACTACTGACAGTATCTCATTATTTTCCTAAACATATTCCTCAGATACTTCATTTCAACATTTTTATTAGACACAGGATTAACAGGAGAGGAGTGGTGGTGGTAGAAAAAAATGTCATTTTGCTTGTATTGATAGAGAATCACTTAAATATTTGAGCATGGTAAATGAAAGGTTTTGTAATCTATCAGTAAATCCCTGCCACACTTATCATTCACATGTCTGGGTGTTTTACTTACCACATCTCCACTTTTCTTAATATGCTTGAAAGCTGTGTGTGAATTGAATGACTAAGACTAACTCTAACAACTGTTTGGAAGCCTGTGGCAAAAATCAGTGGAATGAAATCAGTGCTGGGGTGCGTAATGGGATTAGGGAGTACCTGGTGAGGTGCAGTTGGTGCTCGGATTCGCCCAGCAGTTCTGTTAGTTTCAGGCACTCCTCTCTGGCCCGGGCTGCCTTCTGCTGCTCCTGTTCCATGTGCTGCTTGCTTTCACTCAGTTCTAGTCTCAATTTCTCTATTTCCTTAGGTAGAGAGAAAGGGTGGGGGGAAGCATCTATATCAAATATATGCACTTGACTTCAAAATTAGATCATTTTTATTTTTACCATGAATTTTAATGTGATGAAAAATTATTAGAAAATTTAGGCTAGCTTCTGTTTTATGACAAAGGAAATATGCACATCCAAAAATGCACATTAGTGAGGTTTTTTTGGATTGTAACATTAAGATTGATTCTTAAAATGAAATTATTAAATAAGAGTAGTCAAGATGAATAATCAGCATTTTCATTCTAAAGCTTGTTCCCTTTAAAAAGTCATTGGAACTTAAAAATTCACAATCTTTAAAATGTAACATTTTTGTCTAAGAGATTTGATCAGATACATGTCGTAATTTATATCGGATAAGTGACTTTTTATTGTGAAAGATAGATTGATGGTTTCATTTAGATGTTATAAAAAACAAATTAAATATAAAAATATTTTAGGTATCTTTTAGGAAAACATGAAGTATAGAAGAAGGCATCATTATAATACTGAATATTATTTGGAAAAAATAATTCAGCATGAGAACCTTTGGCTTACAAGAATATGAAATTTCAGAGCTAAAATAATATTACAATAAAATTTGCATTTAAAAACACAACCAAACATTCTTAAGACTACTAAATGAACATATAAATATATGACAATTTATATAGCTTATTGTTTGGTTTCATGAATAAATTATCTTTAAAACTCAAATATTTCCAAGCAGAAATATCTTAAATAGAACACAGTTTAAAGTAATTTACAAATTTAAGTAGAAATATTTATCACAGAGCAGCTATAAAATTAAGGAAAAGAAAATAGAGCTGAACATTTAAAAATATTTAGTCTGTATTACAACAAAACAAAGTTAAAAAAAAAAGAGCAGAAACATTTTCAAGTTCAGCAGAGAGCAAGGAGTAATTCTGATACATACAAAAAATGTCCTTTTGGAAAACAAAATTATGCTTAAGCAGAGTATTTTAAACTTACTGTTTAAATATATTTTAAAAAAATTTATGTCATTACTCATTATTCTGAATGATCTCCCACTATAATATATTATATAAGATAAACTAAACAATTCATTATATTTTTTCTTACATTTGTAATACTGTATTCAGTTTATCCCCATCAAAACTACACATTACCAACAATCACTTATTACAAGTTCTCAAATATTGTTTTTTTAAAAAACCTATGTAATAATGAATGTGTCACTTTCATCCAGGGTAGATTTCCTGTATCTTTCAGACCAGAATACTAAATAAAATTGATTTATTTCTTTAAAATATTTTAAATTATTTAAGTTAATACTAATACATTTCTAATCTCATAATTAAATATAATTAAAGATATGAAAACATAATGGAAAAGTCTATTAAGTTTTACTTGCCTAAATGGAATTAACAAAAGCAAAGAAGTATAAAATCTGAATCACATGTTGACTTTAAAACTTCAGAAGTCCATCATTAATTTTTTTACACAGTTCTATTTACAAGAAACTGTGCTAAATACTATGATGAACTCAGTATCAATTTCTATACACATGATTTAACATGGATAAATGAGACATGTATACACAAAATATCAAAATACAAGTCATAGAGACAATGACAAATGAATTATAAAGAAAATTCATGCCAAATGAGGGATAAATTTGCATGGACAAGAAAAGTGAAAAAGTAAGGGTACAAAAACTCATGGAATGAAAGCTTACATCATATTACGAAAGGTGTTGAAGAAGAGGTTAGTAGAGCTATAGTTTTCTTATAAATAATAGGAAATACTGCTGGGTATAGTGGCACACACCCATAATCCCAGTGACTAGGGAGGCTGAGGCAGGAAGATCACAAGTACAAGGACAGACTCAGCAACTTAGGAAGCCATTGTATCAAAATAAAAAATAAAAAGGACGTAGGGGTATAGCTCAGTGGTAAGGTGACCCTGGCTTCAATCTCCAGTACACAAAAAAACAAAAGGTATGCAATATGAAAAAAGCTGCACTTACAAATTGGATCAATATCTATGATCAGTTTAAGGTGGCAAGTAATGGTAGAAGGGAGGCCATGAAGAGATAGTTCTAATATTCCAGACAGAAAAAGTAGACTTTAAACACAAATTTGAAGAGAACATGGTGATTTTTATGGGGGAAAAAAAATGGAAAGGCAGAATGTAGAAAGAGACCAAAGATGACTTCAGAATTTTGAATGGAGAGGATACAAAAAGAATGATAGAAATATAAAACATAAAATCCAAGCTTTCTTAAAAAGAATAAATACAACAAGTTTTGAAACCACTGTGCAATAAAAGTAACATATATACCTTAGAGTGGTAACTAGGTTTTAAGTATAAATCAGTTGCTTTCTTATTCTCATCTAATAAAAAGTCAGAGGATACACTGAAATCCAGTCAGAGATAAACATAGGTCCAAGAGCCAACACAATCAGGTCTCAGACATAGTTCTGACACTTTTTAGCTCTGTGACCTCAGACAAGTCGCTCAAATATCATACATTCTTCAGCAGAAAATGAAAGTGATAACTCAGCAAGCTCCAAAGATGCTCTGAAGACTGAATGGGATGACGAGTACTTAGCAGAGTGCTGAACACATAAGAGATATGAGACAGCTAGTATCATTATTACCACTGATTTCTCTCCCTATTTAAATTATCTTTCAAGACTGGCAAAAGGATAAGTAGAAAAAATGCTCTTCCCAACTGACTATCCTTAATAAGTCATTGATTTAATTCAATAAAATTTCTCCTTTGTTTCCTCTACAGAGCATTATTTTGGTAAAAAATGAAGAAAACTTTATCTATTATAATTTTAAACTGCAAAAAGCATTTTTGTTAGGTAGATGGAAAATTACTACCTGCTTCTGATTATCCATGCCAGCAAAACAGCTTATTGGTGCAGATAATCAAAAACCAACAAATAATCTAACCAGCTGGACCAGGGCTCAACACTTACTCCCTGTGTCAGGAAAATCTGCCATGGCACCAACTCCAACAGTTAGAAGAGAAATCTCTTGCCAGAAATGCCATCCTCCCACTGGCAGGATAACCCCTTGCCTCACCCAACTAGGTCAGGGCGGTTTCCTTGGCTATATATGGTGGCTCAGGAATGAAAGACCAACAACAGTCATAGGCCAAACTGTATGTTACTCTCAAAGTACACTATTAACCTGCATGTCTACAATGCAGTTTTACGTCATTATCCTTTTGCCAACTGGGCAAGGGAGGTCCAGATAGCTCTGTATCTTACCAAAAGGTATTCTTCAAATCATGAATAGATTGGCTGAAGACATAGCTTATTGGTAAAGCCCTTACCTAGCATGTACAGGATATGGGTTCAAGCCCCAGTACCTCAAAAAAAAAAAAAAAAAAAAAAGACTATAGCCACCAGAACAGCTTAAAGTAGGAACTGTTAAAATTGGTTAGGAGAAGAGTACCAGGAATGGGACATGAAGAAATAGAGATTGATTACTGTTAATATTCTTCCACACTGTGGAAAGTTTTTTCTTAATAATGGACATATGTGACTTTATTTTTATTATTGATTAATTTTTCTTACCAAAGTAATGCACCTAAAATGAGCTAAATAGTACTCAATTTTTCATAGCAAAGAAGAGCAGTGTCTTTTGACCTATCTCCAAACCTAATCTCCAATGGCACATTATTAACTGTTATTTTTCTTTATATTTTTAAATGACATGCTTCTATTGCTATTTTTTGATTTTGCAATATTAGACATTATACATCAATTTCCTATATTAAAGGTGACACAGTTAATTTTAGTATGTGCTTGTAGTCCCAGGCTACAAAGCTGAGGCAGGAAGATCCCTTAAGTCTAGGAATTTGAGGCCAGCCTGGGCAACAACATAATGAAACCCTGTTTCAAAAAAAAAAATTTTTTTAAAAAAGGAACAATTAAGTTCTCTTATACCAGCTACCCTACATATCCAACTTATGCTCCCATATAAAATTTTTGGTTAATCATTAGTCAGTAGTTCATTTACATTATGATTATGGAAAATTTGCTCACTACTAAGATGAGCATTACTTTAATTTTCCTATATTATTTCTGAAATTAATTGCCTAGTCTTTTGTTTTATTTTGAGAAGGGGTCTTGCTATGCTGCCTAGGCTGCCCTTAAAATCCTGGCATCAACTGTTCTCTTCCCTCAGTCTCCCAGGTAGCTGGGACTATAAGCATGTGTCATCATACCTGACTGTCTAAATTTTTGATAGTTTATTTTTCTAGGTAACTGATATTTGCCCCCAAAGTATTCAAACAGTATTGCCAAATATGTATCAATAATATTTTTTCAAATGATCAAATAAGGATAAACTATAAGTTCCTTTATAACCATCCCTCATGTATCCTTGGTGCTTTATGTCTAGCTTTTTTGATCTCTGGCTTGTGTCAAGTGTTATGTGTGTGTGTGTATGTGTGTGTGTATGTATGGTAGAGGGAGATTGAGCTACATTCTCAAGATAGCTTTCATAAGAAAGAGTGCAAAAAATACATTTTGGGGTATATTTGTATGCTTCAAAATGCTGTTATTATATGATAAACTTAATAATCTGGCTTGAGTATAAAGTTCTATTTGAATTAACGTTCACTCAGGATTTTTAAGAAACTACTCCATTGTCTTTAAGATTCTAATATTATAATTGAAAAGCACTATATTTTTCTGATCCCTAATACTTTTTTTGTTCCTAGAAACTTTCATAGTTATCTTTTTTTCCCCCATGATTTAAAAAATTTTACTGTGTTAGACCCTGGAATAGGCTCTTTTTCATTCTTTATGTGTTGTTTTCAATGGGTCCTTGTCAATCTAGAGGCTTATTTTCCTTAATTTGAAGACAGTATCTTGTATTACAATTCTAAAGTTAAATTTTGATACCATAAACATTAATATTTCCTCTTCTATAACTCTAGATATTAGTTGTTGGCCTTATTGGATGGATTATCTAACTTACTTACATTTTTC